TAGTGCGTTTATTACGAATTTCCAGTTTATCGTTGGTTTCTTAATAAAGACCTCGGCCGGACCGGTCTCTAAAATAAAAACTGTTTTAACTATACGAAAAAATATTATATTTATATAAAAAATAAAAATTTATTAAGTGACATTTCTATAAAAATATTTTGCCACTAAAGTATTTTTTCGTTATAATAGAAAATAAAATACATTTCTAACTAAAACAATTGTCTAAAATAACACGTTTAATGTAAAGATTAAATAGAATTTGCAGAAATACCAGAGAGTTACAAAAACAAAACGTTCCATGTTCTCAAGCAAATCTGCTTTTCTCTGAGTCGTTTTAACCTCAAACGTAAGCAGTCTTATCTTACCTCACTGAAGGATTTTTTGCTTAACATTTCTATATGTTTGTTTAAATCGTATTAGTCTACCATATTCATCATTAAAATAATTATTCTGTTGGAGTTTGAAATTATTTTTGTTATTCCAGTGACAAACGCTTTTAAAGGTGTGTAGGTCACAAATGCTGTTTAAATTTACTTAATATTGTTTTTAATAGAATTTTACAATAAATTAAAGTACAACAGGCCGCTTAGAAGTTTAATCTTAGAAGCATTTAATGTATATTTATTTTTTGACGTTCATAAGTGTACATTGTGTTACCTACATGAATAAATGAATTTTGACTTATGTACTTTTAATCAATACAGATGCCTAAAAGAAGATTGAAATAGAAACGTGTTTGAAAAGGCTACTATTTTTTAAAGTACATAAATTAGATAGGATACATGAAACTAAGATTCAACTGGTTGGAAGATTACATGTCTATCAGGCATCTATGTTGACTCAATCTTTAGAAATCTTCAATGAGAGAATTCAAGATTTCGATTTGGAGATGGGGGTTGACTCAAGTAACACGTTATGATTATTGCCAGTGCATCCTGGCTGTCGACGGCATGCCTTGGACACTTGAGACGCTGGCTCGTACCCAACGCGTTTTATCTTAATGCACTCATACCACCCATAACTCCCCATTCTACTCCACGATTGTTTCAGCTATACGAAGAGTCGTTAACGGGAAATTTGATACGACCGACGCTTCTTAGCGTCGAACATTCGCCAAGACTGCAGTTATATTAAACTATCTAACTTCCTCGAGTGCCGTCGTCTGAATTAACAACTTTATAAAACTTAATGAACGGAACTTCTAGTATATTGAAGCATTGATTAAAGTAGACGTGTTCTTATTTTAAATAAAGCTACTGTTACTGTTCGGAATATTACGGAAAGTTTTAGAAAATAATTTCAAAATCTAAAAATATTCACCTTGTCACTTACACGAGAACATAAAAATATATGTGCCGTACGCATATTAGATAGATCACCTTCCATCTTTCCTAAGATATTCTTTAAAACTGTTTAAAAAAAAGCATACTCCTCCCTCAAAGACCAGCAATGGACCCACTAAAGGGGGTGTCCATGGACTGCGAAAACTGAACTTTTTGGGCGTTCTTTAGACTTGTTTTGACTTGACAAGTCTAAAGTAAAGTACATAAGAAAAGTATACTATACAAATAATATATTTTATTATATTATAGCGGCGGCTAAATAGACTTCTCCTGCATAGGCGTGCCCTCCGATAGGCCGCATCTCACTTAACATCTGTATTGTGGCCCATGGTCTATCCAGTTATATATCTAGAGAATTTACATAAATAACTATATAATTAAGGTAACACAGTTGAGTTACGCATTCACAGTTCATTATATTAATTATGCTTCGATCAGGAATTTAATCATTATTAAGTATTATTAAGTAATTAAATCAACTTGTTTGTCTCTCGTGTTACGTCAAAATAGATGGGTTTCAATATGATATCTAATATATAAAATTCTCGTGTCGCGGTGTTTGTAGTTAAACTCCTCCGAAACGGCTTGACCGATTCTCATGAAATTTTGTGTGCATATTGGGTATGTCTGAGAATCGGACAACATCTATTTTTCATCCCCCTAAATGTTAAGGGTAGTCCACTCCTAAATTATTTTGTTTTAATTTTTAGATATTTTTTTTTGTTTTTATTTTTTTATGATACAGCGTTAAAAATACATACAACCCCTAATTTTCACCCCTCTACGATCAACCCCTATTTTTTATTATAAATGATATACATGGCAAAACGACGTTTGCCCGGTCAGCTAGTTATGATATAAATATTACACAGTCTCCTATGTACATCACCGTACAACAAACGAAAAAGAGGAAGACATCTTAGAAGGTGGATAGACCAAATTAAAGAAACAGCAGGTGGTACATGTACATCACCGTACAACAAACGAAAAAGAGGAAGACATCTTAGAAGGTGGATAGACCAAATTAAAGAAACAGCAGGTGGTACATGGCAGAGAGTTGCACAGAGCAAGAAGCACAATAGCGGAATTAGGAGGAGCCAAAAGGGCACACAGATATTTTTTTTTTTTTTTTTTTATGTAATAGGAGGCAAACGGGCAGGAGGCTCACCTGATGTTAAGTGATACCGCCGCCCATGGACACTCACAATGACAGAAGGCTCGCAAGTGCGTTGCCGGCCTTTCAGGAATTGGTACGCTCTTTTCTTGAAGGACCCTAAGTCGAATTGGTTCGGAAATACTTCTGTGGGCAGCTGGTTCCACATAGTGGTGGTGCGCGGCAAAAACTGCCTTAGAAAACGCTCTGTTGTGGATCGACGGACGTCGAGGTGATACGGATGGTATTTTGTATTTTGCCTTGACGTCCGATGATGAAACTCAGCTGCAGGTATTAGACCGAACAACTCCTCTGAACACTCTCCATGGTAAATGCGGTAGAAGATGCAGAGAGATCCCACATCTCTACGCAACGCCAAGGGATCAAGCCGCACGGAAAGTGACTGGTCGTCGACGATTCGAACCGCTCTTCGTTGAATACGGTCAAGTGGAAGGAGCTGGTACTGGGGAGCTCCCGCCCAGAGGTGAGAGCAGTACTCCATATGGGGCCGAATTTGCGCTTTATATAGTTGCAAGCGGTGGCCCGGAGTGAAGTACCGTCTCGCCTTGCTGAGCACACCAAGCTTTTTGGAGGCTAATTTAGCCTTTCCTTCCAGATGACCGCGAAACTGAACGTTATTCGATATGTCAACGCCCAGTATTCCGATGCTAGCTGAGGCTTTAAGGAGAGTGTCTTCAAAGAGGGGAGTAGCGACAAAGGGAGTTTTTTAGCGGAAAACGCGCATACTTGTGTCTTCTTGGGGTTAAATTGGACTAGATTTAGTCTACCCCAGTCCGAGACTCCACGTAGAAGAGTTTCGACTTCAGACACAAGTTTGTTCCGGTACTCATCGACAACAGCCCGAGAAATACCTGCCCGGCCAGTGTAAAAAGTATCCCCAGTGCTGTCGTCCGCATAGCAATGAATGTTGCTAAGCTGCAACATATCATTGATATGCAGAATAAACAGGGTCGGGGATAGGACACAGCCTTGTGGGACACCAGCATTCACAGGTTTCAGGTCGGAGCATGCTCCGTCGATGACGACTTTGATGCTCCGATCAGCGAGAAAGCTGGAAATCCAGTTGCATAATTTCTCAGGGAGCCCATAGGCTGGAAGCTTCGAGAGCAGTGCTCTGTGCCACACCCGATCGAAGGCTTTCGCTATGTCCAAACTTACCGCCAGTGCCTCCCCCTTGGACTCAATTGCCTCTGCCCACCTATGTGTAAGGTATACAAGGAGGTCACCAGCCGAGCGACCACGACGGAAGCCGTACTGAGAATCGCTAATCAGCTGGTGGCCCTCTAGATACCTCAAGAGCTGGCTGTTAATAATGGTTTCCATTATTTTGGAGAACAAGGAGGTTATAGCTATTGGGCGATAGTTGGACGGATCAGAGCGATCGCCTTTTTTAGGGATCGGATGTATCGAAGCGATCTTCCAGCACTTCGGAACAGTGCCGAGCGTGTAAAGGTACCGGAAAAGGCGCGTTAGGACCGGAGCCAACTCAGGAGCACAAGTACGCAGCACAATTGGAGGGATGCCATCAGGCCCGCTCGACTTATGGATGTCCAAGGAAGACAAAGCTTTACGGATAGCACGTTGCCGGAATATAACTTCGGGCATCGTAGTATCACACCGCAATAATGTCGGTGGTTCCTTCCCTTGATCATCCAAAGTGGAGTTCGACGCAAAGAGACAGCCTAGAAGATCGGCCTTCTCTTTCGCGGTATGGGCAAGTGAGTCATCCTCCCTATGCAGTGGTGGAATTGAGGGCTGACAGAAATTCCCTTGGACAGCTTTGGCAAGAGACCAGAAGGCTCGAGTTCCCGAAGGGAGGTGGGCCAATTTCTCACCAAATCTGGCAATGTGCTCTGACTTTGCTTTAGCGATTTCTCGCTTGAAGGACCTGGAGGCTGAATTGTATGCTTTTTTACGTTCGCCGATAGTCACATCACAGGATGTCACCGCTTCTGCCCAGGCTTTAAAGCATTCACGCTTACGGCGCAAAGCCGCTTTGCAGGAACGCCTAAACCAAGGCTGGGACTTGCCACCGACCGGCACCGCAGAGAATGGAATAAAGAGTTCCATACCCTGCAGGACCACCTCGGCGACAGAGTCAGCGACGGCATCTGGAGTACTCGACGAAAAGCAAATGGGCCCCCAAGGGTAGGACGCAAAAAAGACCGCATCCCATCCCAATCTGCTGACTTACGCCCGAACCCAATAACCTTTCTAAATCCATAATCCACCATCTGAGATAAAAATCTCAATCCAAATGTTGTATAAAGTGTGCCACTAACCAATCGACGGATTGTAATAGTCATCTGGCGATACAAGCTATCCTTGTGAGGTCCTATCGGTGTCTGTGGATAGACCTTTGTATGAAAATGACAGTTCAGCTGTGCCAATATTCATCTTAAAGTTTTTACATATTGTTTGACGGGTGATTGCCGATTGCATTTGCAATCCCCCAATTATCTCGGATTACTGATGATAAAAATATGGCCTTACAATTAATATCTTCAAGTGATAGCGATAGTGATAGTGATCTGGAAGTTCTAGGATTATTATCAGATTCGGAAAGTGATGATTCCAACAATAACGGACCAAGACCAAGACCAAGGCGGATAAAACGAATAAATTTTATGCATAACCTAAACGATACCGACTTCACTTTTAGATTTAGGTTAAATAAACCTGCAGTGGAATTACTTTTGACCGAAATTATGCCCTTTGTACGAGTAACATCGATGCGGTAAGTTTACTAATTGTTTTAAAAGCTGCCTGTGCAGAACTTGTTATATATACTTACCTTGTTAATTTTTAACAGAAATAATGGCGTGCCACCACTACATCAGCTTTTATTGACGCTGCGGTTTTATGCATTGGGCACAATGCTAATTTCCGTGGCCGATTTCATAGGCGTTTCCAAATCTTCTGCAGGCAGAATAGTGCGGGACATATCTGTCGCAATCGCCAGATTGTACGATAAATATGTTGTAATGCACCAACAAGGTGCAGATAAATTTTATTCAATAGCACAATTTCCTCGGGTTCTTGGTGCTATTGACTGTACTCATATTCGCATCCAATCTCCATGTGAGTTTTTTGTATATATATATAATTAATTATAATAATAATATGCTAATTTGCTTTTGTATAAGTATAAATAAGCTGTAAAAAATATTACTTTGTAATATTCTATGATTCAACAATAAATTATTTAATTAAAATTTGCATATTGATTCATTTACTTTCAGGTCTAACTATAGGAGAGGAATTTAGAAATAGGAAAAACTATTTTTCATTGAATGTCCAAGCAGTTTGTGATGCAGATTTGAGACTAATGAATGTGGTTGCTCGTTGGCCTGGCTCAACACATGATGCCACCATTTTTAATAACTCTGTCTTGAGAGGTATACAGTCTTAACTAGGATTTGTAACTCTTGTTTACTTTTAAGTTTTAGTTTCAATGTAATTATTAAATTTAATAATTTCCAATTCAGCCCAATGTGATTCAGGAGCATTTGGTAATCGATGGTTGCTTGGTGATAGTGCATATCCTAATAGAAACTATTTATTGACACCAATATTAAGTCCCGTTTCTGATCATGAACAGAGATACAATTATGCTCAAATAAAAACCAGAAATACCATTGAAAGGTAAGTGTAACATATTAATATTTATTCATATATAATTTTTATAAGCTGTGATGAACATTTTTTTATAGGACTTTTGGAGTGTGGAAGCGCCGCTTCCCTGTAATAGCCCTAACCCTGCGATTATCGCTTCGAACTGTCCAAGCTGTCATTATTGCTACAGCAGTTCTCCATAATATCTGTAGAAGTTATAATCTGGCAGAAGTTTCTCCAGAAGTTGAGTTGCCGCCCACTGATATTGCAGATATCAATGAAGGACCCCAAAATGCAGGATTACATGATATCAGACAGCGAACTGATTTAGTTAATAATTACTTTAGAAATTAGGGTCAAATTATTTTTATTGTAAATGTTAAATAATACACATATATTATAAAATAATAGTTTTATTTTGTTCTTATACTATATACAAGTATATAGTAAAAATACAAGTTTAAAAAATAGTTAGGAATCTTTCTTATATTTCCTAGGAAGTACAGCGAATGGGTTTACAGTTGAGCTTGGGGGGGTCTTTCCATATTGTAGTATAACTATGTATATTAAGTTTGAAATTAAAAAAGATATAAAAGTAATAAAAAACATTAATATTAAACTAAGAACTAAATAGAATAAAATACCTAAATATTAAGACTCTAGCTTCTTGATCTCTAACTCTAATTTCTTATTTTGTAGCAAAATATTATTTAACTTAGCATCAAGTATTTTTTGTTTTGTTGAATAATATTTTGCTACGGCTAAGTTTTTTTCAGTACGTCCCTCGTCTTGTTTTTTATTTTGTTTACCTGTAAAACATGATAAATATTTAAATGTGAAAAAAAATGAAATATTTAAAAAACTTCACAAATAATAGTTACCACTAGCTCTAGGAGAGTTAAATGTAAATCTCTTTGATTTATTTGGAGTATGAGCTAGTGTACTCGCACCACCATTATCTACAACCACAATTGGTTCCATCACCAAATCATTAGGTATAGGCAATGTAGTATGACTATCTATCGAGAAAGCTGGCACCGCTACCGGACAACCCTCTATTCCCACAACCTTATTAACTTCATGCAAAGCCCCAGTGTCACTGATGACCTCAGCTGATTCTGCATCAACCCAAAACTCAGCTGGTTCTGCGTCACCCCCAAACTCAACTGTAAACCCATTCACAGTACTTCCTAGTAAAGAGGACACGTGGTCAAGGATCTCATCTGGGGGTATGTACTCCGGTGCTCCACCTCCTGTCTAAAAAAGACAAAATTTATACAATATATACTATGTGTGCTGTCTTTATTCAAATACTAAAGCTAACATTTCCCAACTACAACTAACCTTGATGTGATTCATCCTGATTTTAGTGCTTCGCTTGCGAGAATTTTTTTTCAAATTTTCCCACTTTAATCTCAATTGCTGCGGGGTACGCCGAGTAATACCTACTGTGGCGTTAAATTTTTCGGTTATACATTTCCACTCCTCAATTTTCAGCTTGTTGTTAGTAGCATTGGTGGTCTTATTGTTAATTATTTTGCTCTTCGCAATGAAGGCAAGCAACGCTTTCGTCTCGTCCTTTGATAAGGGTTTACCTTTAGACTAAAACAAGGAAAAGTGCAAAATACAATTATTACTTGAGAGAAAATAAATCTGTCGCTACACACATTTATTTATGTGAATTGAAACGTTATTATCTATTACACAACTTTATGATAAATATTACTTACCGCTTCAATATCCATATTCAAATTATTAAAATATAAAAATAATATTATATTTCACTTCCGAAAGCTGTTAAACTTTTAAATTTTTTGTAAGATTGTCAAATGTCAGTAGGCGTTACGTTTTACTTTAATGCTAAACGAAAGCTCGATTCCAACAGTTAATTATTTTAACAGATTTTAACTTACACCAGTTTTTAAAATAATTAAAAAAAGCTGATTGTTATATTTTAAACATAGACATGTATATTTAATGTTATTTTACGGGTTTATTTCCTTTATTTGGTTTAAATTTATTATCAAATATGAGTGTAAACTGGGTAAAATGGAACGACAAAGAGGGAAGAGATTCCGTTCTATCCGTCGCCATTAATGGATAGTCTTCGTAGCTTTTGGTTATTGGGATGCAGATAGGAGATCGAGCGACTGTCACGGTCTGATCTCAGATTCTTTTCAATCGGCGATTGTGGATTAATTATTGGGTTCGGGCGTTATAGTGCCACACGCGGCGACAGCCCGTGAAGCTAGGCCGAAGAAGGCGCGTGAACGGCACAATGCTCCGGACCACACAATGATCTGATGAACCCAATGGCGGTTCAACAGAGACTTGGTAGTTCTCCGGATGTGAAGTCAGCAGAAGGTCCAACAAAGAGGGTTTATAACCATCCCCATCTGGTATTCGCGTAATCGCAGGGACCATTTGCGTCAAGTCATAAGCCAAAGCAAAGTCGTGAAAGGATCTTCCCGCATGATCGGTGGTTTCTGAGCCGAGCCAATCGGCATGGTGGGCGTTAAAATCGCCAAGTATCACGATTTCAGCGGTAGGAACCCTTTCGAGCAGGGAATCTGTAGCCATTTGGATGTGCTCAATGAGTCGGTCAGTTTCGGTATTTCCGCTATGGGACCTATACAGGCATGCATAGAATCGCGGATGGTCATCGCAGTCTACGCGCAGCCAGAGGTTAGATAGGTCCCTTCCTTCAAGCGTCCCGAGGCGACGAGAACAGATATCCTCTCTGACGTACACGCAAACTCCCGCCCGCGGCACAAATGAATGTTCCAATTTGTACCCCGGGTAGGAGAGGTAGGAAGTATCAGCCGGGGAGGAAATCTGAGTCTCGGTAAGAAAGAGCAAGGCCGGCTTCGCAGTCTCTAAATGGTAGTGGACTGCGTTGATATTAGAATTGAGCCCCCTAACATTTGTGAAGTCCACAGCGAGCGTGGACGGGGGTGCCTTTGTTGAGTTGCTCCGTTTGCCCCGAGAACGATAACTGTTTTTGATGTTGAGCGCAGAATTGCCCCCCCCAGAATACGAAGGGCAGCCTGTGCGTCCACCACCGGGTGCTGAATGTCCCGGTGTTGGACGCCCAGAGGGGGATTCTCCACCGCGAGCGCGTGTGGTACCCCCCTGGGGTAGATTCTCTTTTTTCTGCACCTTCATATTTCATGGGGGGGCTCCGGGAGTCTCTCTCACCGCACGAAACGCGAGTACAATAAGGTGAACTTATTGCATCACTTCACGCCGGTTTTCGGAGAGACAGTGGTACTGCCCCGGTCGTGCCTGCCCATGTGGCTGAAGCCCGAAGGCAACAGCATGGCACTCCCACTAGGAAGGGGTTGACTGATTGCGCTGATGAAATAACCTCTGTCACAGGTTATTTCACCAGTGGGCGATGGGGTCGTCACGTCCCGACGCCACCAAAAGATATGTACCTAAGAGAAGATTGAAATAGAAACGTTTGTAAATGTACAAGTATCTGAAATAAAAGGATATTATTATTTAATGCACGTCACGCCCTGACTGTAATTATATTGATAAAAAGGTAAATCAAGTAATGGGTGAACACTTGAACAGATACTTATAATAATTTGACAGTTCCATTTGGGTTATCATCAAATCGTGTTTAAATATAATAACTACTGAAAGCCTTATTAAAAATAGGAGACTTTACATTATAACCATTGTAACCATGGTAACGAGCACAGTGCTATATTTCGCTATACGCACTTTATTACATCACAATAACACAAAACAGGAGACTTTCAAAGTCTTCATCTCATAACTAATTCTTATTCATAGTTAACAAAAACGCATAGAAGTATAAATTCACATCGAAACTAAAACGCACTCTATTGACGTTATATCGGAAAAGTGTATGAAGTTTGTTACTTGTTTTGCGTTCAATATTTCTGTGTGTGAAATAACCGTTGACAGGGCGTTGGCGGAAATGGTACCCGTCGCCGAGCCATCATGCCCTGGTCCAATAGACCTGCACCCGACGCTCATATCCGCTGTGAAATCGAACGTGATTCCATGATACTGGTGTGCTATCGGTTGTGTATGTGTTTAATTTTCATCCGTTATAACGTGACATATTGGATGCCGATATTTGAATAACTCTGTCCGTGTTACATACTATGTAGTGAGATTAGTTTGAAATCTATTGCGATGTTTTAATTTTTTATCAAACTTTTGTTGTGAATTGGTTTAGTATATTTATTTGAAATATACTGAATCATTCTTGGTGAATTAATAATTTCATATTTTGATATGCATTGAATTTTGGGGTCACAAAAAGGGTTGCATATTTAATAATACGTAAAAAACTACATGTTATTTAAAAAATCAAAAGTCGAAATCATTTATTCATATAGGTAACACAATGTTTATGAACGTCAAAATAGAAATATACATTAAATGCTTCTAATTTTACATTTACTGCCAGTTCTCAAATCAAGGGCGTAGAACGGAAGAGAAGAACTGGCAATATTACGCTATTTTAATTAACGTGTCGTGACAGTGCATACACAACTTGACAGATTATACAAATGTCTAAGGAGTGAAAATAAGTCGATCGATCGAGTTTGCTTTTTTTTATTGCATGTGTATTTACTGAGACATCATAGAAACATTAAGATCTCAGATTAATAAGTAATTTAAGAGTAACCTAATTTACTAATAACGATGTTTAACATAAGAAAGTGTACACTACTTACAGTCTCTATTAAAGAGAAAACAACTGTTCAATTTTTGTTAAATTTTTTCACTTACCACCGTTTAGCACTTAAGACTAACGTGTACTAATACTAATTTACTAATTCAAATGGTTTTGTCATTTTCAATCTTCTTACTAGGCTAGTGTCGACTTTGTCCCGGTAGATAGCGACAGCGACCCCGGAGCCTCTGTAACGCGGCTTTGTCGGAACTACTCGAGGTGGTTTTAGTGGGTATTGCTCACCCAGTCTCTGAATAGCAGAGATTTTGGCGTGGGTCGAGTCCCACATACCCCTGTTCAGGTGATGCGCAAATGCATTTCCACCTCGGATATCAAAAAAAAAAAAGGCTAGTGTCGACTTAAAACATAATTGACATTTAAAAGGCACAGTTCTAATAAACCCCTTTCAGAGTGTACAACGCGAAAGAATTCAAAATAAAAGGTCTAAAAAATTTTAAAATCTTTTATGTTGCCGAGAATGCAGCGAAAAATTGTCGAATGAATGTCGCAAAATGTCACGTCACTCGACGAAGAGAAACACCCGAATTAAATTCCTTGTACGGAATATCCACGTGCCAGGCGTTTGGCAAATTTCACGAGTTGACGAAAATTAGATATTACATAACGATTTTATTTATTAAGGTTTTCCCGCTATGTCGTAAGTTCAAAGACTTCATGTGGTAGGATCCTGTGTCAATTGTACAAGACAAATTGAAACAGAATTGAAAATATTTTGAATGTGTCTCGTTGCCTTCTAATAAAACAGTATTATATCTACAATATCATCAGTTGTCGAGGCAGAATACGAAATTTCACCCGTATCACCTCGACGTTCCACAACTGAGCGTTTTCAGTTTATACCGCGCACTATCACAGTGTAACCAGTTGCCCACTGAAGTATTTCCGAACCAATTCGAATTAGGTTCCTTCAAGTAAAATTACCAATTCCTAAATGGTCGACAACGCACTTGCGTAGCTTCTGGCTGGCATTACAAGGCGTTTGTCCCCTGTAATGTTTTTATTTGAATTTTTTCAAGCCTACTTAGATTTTGCTTGAAATCGCCTAGTTTGTGTAAGTTCCATAGCCCATCTGGGCTAATTTACAGAGAGCTATGCTCTTGTAAGTTCTTATACTCGTATATTCATAGCACTTTCTAGGAAGCTAAGTTCACCTTTTAAATTATTACCTACGATGTACCTACTTCTGTTCGCAAGGATTCCACAGAAGAATTTTAAGCCGTTAATATACTCGTAACAACCTTTTATTTGTTGCGTCAAATATTGTGTCCGAAATCTTTTTCTATTTTGTGTCCATCCATTTGAGGATCGCTTTGTACAGCGGCGTGCATTGTTTACGGAAGAGCTGTGGTTATTCGGTGTTCCTATGGCTATTTTAGACAAGATACGTACTGAATATAGACTCCTATTGTTCGGGGTACGCATGGTTTACTGTTTTGAATTACGTAAATTTTCAAAGTGTATACATATATATAAAAGTCAGTGACGTTACTACCTTTTACGTCTGGGCCTAATAGTGGGTGTTCAGCTTTGCATGCGTGCATTTAGCACACATCTACAGAAAGTCAATTGGTGCACAATCTATGATCAAACTTATAATCGAACTATGAGGCACTGCAGCGCCTACAAATCGTTATAAAATACAAATTATACAAAATAAATTATTGAAGACATTATTCTATTACGATTATTTGACCAAATTTATACCAAATTTATGAGTATAAACCAGACATACGTTTACAATACCTCAATTTTAATATACAAAGTTATTAACAAATTAATTCATATAAATCTATCCTTTACACAAAAATCAGATACAAAATATTCATTAAGAAATATTGATACATTATGTTTAATACAACCAAGGACTAATTACGGAAAACTTAATATTATGTATCACGCACAAATATTTAATACTTTAATACTAATAATTAATGTATTTACAAAACATAAAAAAGGCTATTCTAGCATTTACTTATGTCTGCGAACGAGCGTCTTAGAAATTAT